AAGGTGGATTTAGGAAACATTCCCCTCCCCACTGATGCATGGAAGTACTGGAAGAGCCCCAGCCTAGAATATAATTTATATAGTTGAAGAAATGATTTCATATTCTTTAGTTCTCTAATGGACACATTAGAGAATCTTATATTTGCTTTGAACATTCGTGTCAATATGTAGGAAGCTTATTCAGTTGATCTGACTATGAAAACGGTACTATGATCTAAAGAATATTTTCCCCATGTGGCTGAGGTGCAAAGCACTTTTACGATTTTGCTAAGACAATAACATTATAAACAGATGTGATTTTCTTAATCAGTGAAATGCTTCGTTGAAATAATAACTGGAAATACTGTACAAACAGTATCATGTCTATTACAAAGGCATTATTTAATTGAGCCTGTAGTTGCTTAAAAGGAGTTCCAACAAAATACGATTTAGTGCAAATATGTCTCAAATGCATCTCAGATGTATGCTTGAGCACAAAAAAGCTATGAGAAATGACTTCAAATGGCTTTACATACTGAGCTTGCTTTCTATATTACAATTAATGCTAACAGTAAGCAAACTTCTCAAAAAAGCAAGCTCATTTTATAGCTGAATATTTCAATACAGATTTTTAATCTATTTTCTGTCACAGCAATTGTTTTAAGGGAATGAAATCTTTAAATAACGTAAAAATACAAATATCCAATTTTACATTTCCCTAGGCTTATGAGTGTGATTTGCATGTAATGATAAAATTATAACTGCAAGCTGGCATTGTTATTTTTACTCTAGCCCATATTTGATATTAAAATAATTTCAGTGCATTTTAGACAACCATTTCATTTTATTTATTTATCAATACCTTGAATCTCATTGTAGGAATGCAACAGCACAGAGAAGAAGCTTATCTGCCTATTTAGAAGCTTATTTACTACTATTTATTTTCTACTCATTAGCAAAACTGAATTTTTAGGAAACCTAACACATATGGTAGGTTCAGTGTCTTAATTAAGAACCTTATTCTAACACATTAGCAAGTGGGAATGGGGAAAAAAAATCACTGTAATTTAGTTTTGTTTTCCTCTACAAGTCTGTGAGCACTGTTACAGTTAGAGCACTTTGCAAACATTATATTCACCAGAGAGGAAGCTGGCACTGTGTGCTACAGAAGAACAACCTCCAATTCCAATATACCAGTCTAATCTGGTCACAGCAAGCTTGCAGTGCCAGAAACAAAAATGCAGCTCACCTATAATAGAGCTTGTGCACAAAACTTTTTAAATTATAGGACTTTTTCAGAACACTTTTTTATCCAGACCATGAATCTGAAAAGAAATGATAGCATACCAGAAACTGAAACAAAAGCAGTATGAACTTCGGTGCTTAAAGTATGAAGTAAAAATGTATGCATGTACAAACTCATCACGTATATACCCCAATTTTACACCCTCCAGAACACATCCTAACTGAGGGAATCCCTTCTCTCTGCCACCATAGCTCCAAATCGAGCTGTTTCCTCCAGTGAACCACCCAGCAGTCACATATTTTCCCTCTTACAGGCCATCTGCTTTTTCTGAAAAAAAAAAAAAAAAAAAATTAAATTTCATCTCGTTCTGAACCAGCGACCCAAAGCAATCCGTGCTTCACCTGCCCATTGTGGGCCACAGACCACAGACTCCAACACCACACCTTGAAGAATACAATTAGGTATTTAATCTGCCCGAAAACCTCTGGAAGACCAGAGGTCTCGTGCATCCACATGTCATCTACCTTTCCTGTGTGAGTCATGAAGTTCTGTCCTCAAACTCAGATGAAGATGGTGATTATTTATTTGAATGATAGGAGGGCTCACCAGTCCTCCTCACAGCCTAGCTCCCCATCATGCTCAGAATGCTACAAAGAGAGTCATTTCCCCAGGCAGCTCCACATCTCACTCACTGTGTAGGAAAAAAGCTATTGGGTTCATTGGGTACTCAGTTCTTCACTTAGGCTGAGAGCTCTTCCTTCTTCAAAAGAAAGTACAAGAATCAGCAAAGCCCAATCACACTACATTTGTGTTTGCTGTTAATGCTGGAAAACCGTGTGAGGTTCTAGTCTGAAGAGACCTGCTTTAGAAACACAGGTAGCAACAGAGGAGCCACAACTCCATTGCCCTGACATTTTTGCATGGGTGGGACACAGCACATGTAGATAAGAAGTATGCATATGCACAATTCTAACCCTGTGTTCAAGTTGGTTTTTATTTTTGCATATTCCTAGAGGAGAACAAACCAAAACTCCACTTTGGGCAAAAATTCCCCCTTGGCCATCTTGGAAAGAGCAGCTTTACTTCCAGATGGGTTACAAAGCCCCCAGCCTCAAACAGCGACACTGCCCTGGGCTTATTGAAACACACAGCCCTGCCAACCAACACCATTTCTGCTTCGAGATGGGCACCAGGAGGCCAGCCCAGCTAGCTGGCTCTTGAACGGCAGGGAGAGAAGCCTGGCAGGGTGTTCACGCGTCTCATTTACAGACTGAACACCATCCCTTTGAGGAAGGCAGATCATCCGTGAAAGCACAGTTTGAGCTCCCCAGGAGGGAAAGCTGGTGAAAGCTTTAGCGCAGGGATACTTGCTGAGAAATGAGGGTCCTGTGGAGAACACGCAGAGCCGCTCCATTTTACTGCCTACATCAAGTGCCCATTAGCCTGTGTTTCTGAGAAAGTAATGTAAGAGTAAGCTATGCTTTTAAAAATAAAAAAAAAAAGAAAGATGGGCATGCTACACATCATTTTGTAAGGACAGCACACCCTGAACATGTTGTTCCTCTAACATTTACAGTGAGCACAAGGACTGGGCAGTAAGCCGGTGCCAATGAATCTGCCATCACTTCTGTAGCAGCAGGATGAGATGGGAAGGTCTGAAAACCCGCATCTGAGCAGTACTCACTGCAATCCAGCCTGCTGCTTTTCTCCCCGGAGAAGAGAGGGAACAGCTGCCCGGAGCAGCGAACTCTGCCCAGCCAGCCAAATCCTGCCACCTGCACATGCGCCAGAGCCACTCTCGGACCACAGGGAGGAAGGGAGGGAGAGGAAGGGATGGAAGCTCACATCTTCCTGAACGTATGTGACCCACCGCCCTCACCACAACAAAGTGTGTTTTTTTTCCAGTGAAAATAAATTACCTGAGTCAGCTGAACTGAAAACCCTACAACAGACCTTGCCCATGTTCGGTAATGCCTTCTTGGTGACTGTTCCTAATGAAATCAATACACCGGTTGGGGGCTTAGCAAATACACCCGCACTGAGGACTGCAAGTCTCTCTTACATCTGGGCATGGGCTGCCTGGACCGTAGGAGAGAGCCACATCACTCCCTACCCTACAACAACCAGCAACATGCAGAACAGGGTGAGAGGAGCACACAACTTGTTACTGCCAGCACTAGCTGTAAGGTGCTCCCCACTCAGAAATAAAGGGCACATGAGGAATGACCTGTGCTTCTGCAGTCTCTCAGGCAACTTTTCTCTTCCCTGCCACCTCCTAGGTCTAAAGGCTCGTCCTTGCTCAAGAGCAGTAACTGCTGCATTATACCGCTCAGTATGGATAGGAGCAGCTTGCTCTAGCTCCTGCTAAACTGAAGTCACTCATCTCCTAAATAGCAGCAATTGCTAAGTACCATACTTTTCAAGGGAGAAGAAAAGCTGAGCACTTCTTTCCTTTCCATTTTTGGAACTGTACTGTAATCTGTGCAGCTACAGAGCTGCAGCTGACACCACATCACCCTTTGCAATGACTGGAGTAAGCAGCAAAAATATCCACTGAATTTTTGGAGTATCAGTCCCGGCATTCCCCTCTCCCCTACGCCCACAGCATTTGTAATCTTGCTTCCAAATCCTGAAACACAATTAGAAACCTTCCCTGGCTTAAAATCGTTACTTAAGGACCTAAACTTTTAATTGCACTTTGCTGATACAGTTTAAAGATATATGGAAATTCTGCCAGATGTCCATGGCTAGCGGATCAGTTGAGGAACAATTCAATCTCAGGGATTCAAGCCTGGCTAATTACCCTCCTCCCTCGTGCACACCTACTGATACAATTACATATTTAACTACACCGGACTAGAGCTTATATGCTGCGGAACAGAACAGCATGAAGCTCTGAAACAAGATTTCATCTTTCTCTTTTCCTTTGTGCAGCCTTACTTCAGTATGAATGAGCTTGCTGATGAGCTGAAAAGTAATTCTTTTCTAAAGCACATGCCTTTTTTCTACTGTCCAGTGAGCAGAAAATGGAATAAATTACATATACATTATAGCCAGACACATGAGGACTAGGTGGGATTTTTGTTGTTTCTTGCAGTTATTATCCTGGGCACCTTTAGAGCAATATGCAATCAGAATAGAAATCTTTACCAGGAGAACAAAATTAGGATACATTGTGCTATAAGCAGAGCAGTCAAGTTTTAGTGCATATTCAATCCAGTTATTAGCAACTGAATAAGTGCTTTCAGATGCATTAAACATAATGCTGTTTTCTTCAGTGTAGCCTTTGGTTGAAAACACAAATTTTTTAAAGAAACTGCTGAATTCCGTACCCAGACCATTCTTCTTAATTCACACTGAAAAGCTCCAGCCAATACTTGCCTCTAAATGTACCAGAAGAAAAGTAATTTTAAGACAATTTAAAGCACTGATATACCTTATACATTATTTAAATACACCCTAAACCCCAAATATTTCATTATCACTAACAACAATTTGGTAGAAAGCATCCTGAAATCATCTGCTAATTCCTATGTGTGTAAGATATTAATAATAGTAACTGACAGTTAATGACAACGTAATAATTTAAGTGTGTTGACAATTATTGAACTGAATGCACTTCAGAGAAATGTAAATGCCAGAGGAGAGCAGCTACAGCTCCATGACTAATGTGTGCCCTGGATTCTGACCATCAGCTTTGCTATTTCAGTTTTGTGACCTAAATCTCCCTCCCCTACCAGAAAGAAACAAAACACCCAAACAAGAAATGTCTTACTTGTTCTGCCTTCTCCAGTGGTTTTCTTTCCGCCTGCAAAAACTGGCAGTTTTCTCTCGCCAGCTTCTGGACCAGCTCAATCCGTCCGATGTCATCTCTTCCCTGAAGCTTGCACAAAACCCCTGCCTTAAGGGTGGGAGAAAGAGCAAACAGATACTTAAATCCACAATCCCAGGACATGACACTGCCACAAATTTCAACCTTAAAAGAAATGCATCTGTTTTCTCATATTTGCAGTACTTCGGTGCCGCTTGCTGAACACAAACAAGTCGCTGCTTCCTGGGAAACAACTGGAGAGGAGCTGAGGCACATCCGAATCTCCAAATGTATCTACTTTGGAGGAATGAAGGCAGGGCTAACTAAATCAACCGCTCCTCTGAGTGTGACTATCAGATAGGCTGTGTTTTATTTGTTCCTGTCAGCCTGTTTCCTGTTACATAAGAGAACAGGAGCAAGAGGTTAAAAACTCATGGGAAAGTTAGCCAGGAACAGCCCTGGAAAAAGAATGAAGTGCAACACAAGGCACTCCTAAAAATAACAGGCTACAACTCCCCCTGCACCAGCTCCAACCATTTTTCACGTATGCAAGCCGTAAGAGCTAGAAGACAGTTGCGCCACATTTGTTTATTCGGTAAATAATAAACCAATATCTCCTGATTTTGTTTAGGGAAGAAAATGAGATTTGCTTTAAAAACTATGCTAGAACTAATTTTTTGGCAAATACTCTACCAGTTATTCAAGCCTTGCCCACAGTGTTTCATCATAATATTCAGAACTGGTTGTTTTATAAAAATGCCTTATATATAAACACGGATTCATGCTTGCACACAGGCATAGCAGACCCATCACAAAGTTAGCTGATGAGGGCTAAATTGCTCCCTACGAAGTCAGTGACTAATATCACTATCCATGATTTGGTCATGGATATAGCCTCTGCGTAACTAAGACCTGGCTCAATGATACTGCATGGCTTTTATTAGCCCAGATGTTTCCTGATGGGGACAGCATATGCCTTGGGAGGGCCAGGCATGTGGCATGGCTACGGTATTGCCATATGACTTTAAAGACAGCCTGCAAATAAACCTTTTCCCCCCCTTCCTCCACCTTTTTCTTTCTACTGTTCATCCTGAGTTTAACTGAATCCATATCTACTCCAAAATTCATAAAACATCTTATGGGGCAGGACTGAGCGCCAGGGATGCCCTGATCGCTAACCTGTAGTGCCATGCAGGCCTCATTCCTTTGGCCTTCAGAAACTCCTGCCCATGACAGCTGAAGGTGTGAGAGTGCCCACCCAAACCATCCTACAGTCTGTTGTTTTCTCCAAGGAAGAGGGAAATGTGGGTTAAGGTTTCTTCAGCTGAGGAGGGTTACAAATCCACTTTCTGAGTAAGCGCTGTAACGCTGATGGAAAAAAATTGGTTCCACGACCAAATCCAAAGAGTCATCCTTAACGAATTATTTGAAAGAAATTTTTATATGCCTACATTCCTCCAGTCTGGATGAAGGCATCTCCTCACAAGCCTGCGTCAGGCACTTGTGCTCTGGAGAAGGAAAGAACTTCAGATACAGCCTGTGCTTTGCGTGTCCTCTGCTTAGTCCCCAGTCTCCTGAGGCACTCAGCTTTCCCACATAAGGAACCTATGCACTGGTTTGAAGGTCAGAAATCCACCAAGGAAATAAAGGCATGGCATTGCTTAACCTGAAGATCCTTACATTTTCTATGAGATTAGCTCCTGATCTTCTAAATTGAGGACATGGATTTATAAACCAGTTCAGACATACCATTATCACCTGCAGATCAGGAGTGAGACTGATTCTATCAAATGTGGAAGAATATAATGAACTAGTTGTCCCGACTCTCTTTAATCAATAGAGAAAAAGAGGTACTTATGAAATTTTTTTTACTCTACTGTAGTCATCTAAAAATGGTCATATGCATTCTTTCCCAAAATTCTTTTTTTCCAGTAATTTACACAGGGAACCTAGGCAATTGTCACAGACTTGGCTGAAGTCAGATGTCTCCACAACACTTTGATGGCTTGGGGACATCAGCTAGAGTCAAACCTGCTTATTTCATGGCTTTGGGATGCTTCTAACAGAGAGTATAACATCTGTGTGCTGCAATCCCCCCAGGCTTGTAAGCTAAGGACAACTCAAAGTGTTATGGCCTATTAGGGCTCTGGGACTATTTGGGCTTTGGGACTATAAAGACTGACAGCCTCTCTGAATCTGGGATCTTACTACTGTGGAGGGACTTTCCCCAACTTCATGTTGCGTCCAGCCAAGACAGACCATGACCTATGAGCAGCATAGATGGTTATGAGTCCCTGTACTTCAAACGTCAGATGGACATCGACAGAAATGCAGTGTTCACTCTGCTGAACAAATATTTATTGATCTTGTGTACGAAGCAAAGCCCAATGGTTAAAACCACTTTTTTTTTTAAGCCGAGGGAGGGGGATTTCACTTTGGGGGAACCAACTGGCTTCAGTATGTTCAAGTGGAAGAAACATCCTGGAGAAAGACAACTTTTTGAACACATGGGCCTCGCTCTCTTTCACCCCTCGCCCTGTTTTCAGACAGAGCACATTATTGCTTTCTGCATGTATGAGCACCCCAGGGAAAAAGTAACTCTAGATACAAGTCCGTTACCCCTGCCACAAATACTGTCTGCATTCAAATTGGCAACTTCATTACAGAATCATATCATCCTGTTTCAAATAACCATCAAGAAAAAAATCTTACATTTTAACACATCCCCTCCTCCACAACTATTCTTTAATTTAAAAAATTACAGAGAATGTGAAAAAAAAATATTTTATTAGGTTTCCAGAGGATAAAAGGACAACTAGAAAATTTCTGGGAGGGCTAAGGTATTATCAGGTTAAATGTACATGCTTGGCTCTGGGAGTAAAGAATGCACTTGCAATACAAAAGGCTAAATATGCTTTTCCATAATTAAGAAGAAAAATATGAATCCCTCACTTTTAATTCTGATTTCCTCAATTATGCTGACTTTGTACTATAAATCTTTCTGCTAAATACTTATAAGAAAGCATACAGGTCAACTAGCTAATTAGTTGATGACAGCTTCTAAAAGCTGGTTGGGAAGACATTGTTAAGAGTCTCCTATTACTGGTCATTTTCATTTGTCAATATAAATTTAATTTTCAAACAATACCTTTGAAGCTGTTAGGCAAAAGGGTAAAGGCAAGCTGTCCTACTTGCGAAGTGCAATTTTTATTTGCATTTAGCGCAGGCACACACCCTCCAAAATCCCGCATGCTCAAATGTTGGTGCTTAGTCCTCTAATTCAGGTACACTAACAGAGATACAAGTACTAACTTATGTGAAGGTGAAAATCACAAAGTTGCATATTTTAACTGGCTTTAATTTAATGTATGATAAAAGAACGTAGGAGCTTTATAGTAAGGCTTTACTACCATTCATGGCACAAAATTACTATAATTAAAGGTGTTTATGCAATATTTGAAATGAAATAAAAAAGTCTAATGGGAAGGAAAGTAAATTAGTCACAACTGAGGTTGGAAAAGCAAAGATGCTGACAATGCATTTTCTGTTTCAGCACATCCATTGGAAAATATTTCCTCTGCAAAGGCCATAAATGAATATGCGAGCAGTGACACTGAGGTGAATTCAGACAGCCCTAGGCAGACAGCATGCGATTTTTTATTTACATTATTTACATTGTTTACAGCATGCTCACTTTTAAAAATCTCTATACTGAATTTTTTCCACACTTCTACGAATTTTGTCAACTAACTCCAATGTAAGTCAAGCCTCCGTCCCAGAGAGTGGTGTTTAGAGCAGGCACCACACCCTTCAACTCTGCTAACAGAAGAGGTTTGTGGTGGTTTGTTTTTTTCCCAGGGCACCTCTGTCTCCTTCTGTGTCTGGTGAAAACAACATAATTATTAGAGGCTTCACCTTTGATCAACCTGAAAACTTGAAACCATATGCCACTGCCTCAAAAGATCATTTGCTTTGCTCCAGTCACATGCACACTAAAGTGAAAAAAAAATCATTCATACCCTTGAACCAAACTGTATTTGGTGTTCACAGGATGTCATTTTTATGGCACTGACAAACAAATTGGAGCAACAGCTGCTTTGATAACGCTCCTGCTCTCCTCCCACCTGGGCACTTGAGCACCTTTGTTAACTGCTCACTTAATAATTGTTTAATTTTAAATGTGTTTCAAATTCTTTCACATTTTAGAAGCTGGTATCCAGCCAAATAAAAGCTGAAGGAATCAATATCCCAATAACAAATTCTTATGGGTTTTTATAATCTGCCCATGTAATCTTATTAGCTGGCTACTTAGGAGCTTTGAGCACACGTCATAGTCTTTATATCTCTGGACATAAATGTGAACAAACATTTTAAAAAAAAATAATGAGAACTACAACAATCAAGTAGAACTGAGCATATATGAAACCTGAAAAAGACAAAGCCAGATTTTTTGTGCAGTGAGGTCAGTATATCCCCCTGGTTCTTTTCTATAGACCTGTAATGCACAGCTGAGCTCTAGAAGACTGATCCTTAACACCACAGTGATGTGAATTAGGAATCAAAGTCAGGTAATAAAATTTTCACTCATTAGGGCTCCTACTACACTTTTTTGTTTATTTTAATAGATTTGAAACTGTGTGCAATTAAGAAAAGAGCAGGCCGTTTCCGAACATCTTGCTCGAGCATTACTCTGACAAGTATGCTAGAAAAGCCCAGTTACACACTGACGCAGTAGACATATCTGCATGGTCCTCCACTCTTCTGCCTGCACTCTCCAGGTGTCTGCCATGGCCCAGTTCATAGAATGCTTTGGAAGGGACTTTTAAAGGTCATCTAGTCCATCCCCTCTGCAATTGGCAGGGATATCTACAACTAGATCAGGTTGCTCAGAGCCATATCCAGCCTGGCCTTGAATGTTTCCAAGGATGGGGCATCTACCACCTCTCTGGGCAACCCGTTCCAGTGTTTCACCACCCCCATCGGAAAAAAATTCTTCCTTGTATCTAGTCTGAATCTTCCCCCTGTTAGTTTAAAACCATTACCCCTTGTCCTATCGCTATTAGCCCTGCTAAAAAGTCTGTCCCCATCTTTCTTCTAAGCCCCCATTAAGTACTGAAAGGCTGCAATAAGGTCTCCCTGCAGCCTTCTCTTCTCCAGGCTGAACAACACCAGCTCTTTCAGCCTTTCCTCATAGGAGAGGTGCTCCATCCCTCTGATCATTTTTGTGGCCCTCCTCTGGACCCGCTCCAACAGGTCCATGTCCTTCCTGTGCTGAGAACCCCAGAGCTGGATGCAGTGCTCCAGGTGGGGTCTCACGAGTGCCAGGGAGTGGGGCAGAATCACATCCCTCGA